TGTACGTTTTGTATAACGACACGTAGGTCACGCAGTACCTCATATATATAGTTTATGTAATTAGTGTAAGCTAGAGTATTCAAGATGTAACAGTTAAATATACAAGTTACACCCTACTGTGTGTGTTTACTCTCACCACCGCTCCTGTCATCACAATATACTTTTCCTTTCTTTTAAAAGTAAATCATTATTGCTCTCACTGGCTTTCGGCATTTTCTGCATGTTCTTTCTGTTCTATTCTAACTAGTTCTATTCTGTTCTTTTATTTCTATAACTAGTAAATAATGAATCGAAATTGCAAAACTGTCAATTTATCAAGTGAGACAGTGAGACAGACAGTAGCTTTGCCAGTTTCTTTTTATATTAGTACTTTTAAAACTTCTTTTAGATATCTTTTAAAGCTAGTAAAATAGTAGTTGTCAGTTTTACATTTCGCCATGTACCTATATAAAATGTATTACTAACAATAACGTTATCAAACGTAGAAAATGGATTTGCAAAATGAATAATAAATAAAATAACATCGCAACAGAAACAGCACTCAATTTCAACGGCGTCGTGTCATAATCAAAACAATAATTAACAGTATTAAGTGTATATTAATTCTCTTTGTTGAAGCTTTCTGCTATTCAATTCTGTAGTTGAATATTCATAGTAAAGCTGTAAGGCGGACATTTTCTGTACGTCCCAAGTGGATGGAGTGTCGCCGAGCAAATCAATTAATAAGGCTCCGCTTCGTTACACCAGAGCTAAGTTGCCAACTTGACCCTTACGGCTATAATGGGATTTCAGGGCACAGACCAGCATCGACCGCCATGCGTTCGTGTAGTGACTTTGTATAGCGGAGTTATTTTCTATTTATCCCTTAATGAGTTTTTTTTCTTTTGGTTGATAATGTAATGGTGCACCGGCCTGCGCTAACGGTTTACGTTGGCGTAGCACTAGTGTAATCTTAATCAATTACATTTCAGCAAGTAAAAATATAGAATTACTAACTCTGCCCGTGACTTCTCTGACGTCTGCTTGGTATAGTAAACTTCACCAAATAAAGAAAAAATATTTAACAATATTTCAAAAAGACGATACAATTCCGTACAATCTTACATGTCCCCTTTCAACCCCTTACAACCCTTTTATCGCATTAACAAGTAGCCTATATCCTTCCTTCAAAGTCTAGACTATATGTGTACCAAATTTCGTTAAAATCGGTTCAGTAGTTTTGGCGTGAAATCGAGACAGACTGACAGTAATTAGTTTTTGTAATTGCAAGAATAAAGAGATTTTGCATCTGCATGTAGTGTATCAGTACACATTAATTGACTAACTTTTTATTATTGTTTATTATTAGAGATATGCCTAGTATTTATATACCCTATATCTTTTGTGTGTAGGTGTGGGGGTGACGTAACGCCATGCCAAAGCATTTTTCGCTAGCGCTGTAATGCACATACCTAATTTAAAATTCTATGTGCCTGGTTCTCTTATTGGCTCTTGATAATATACAAATACATTTAGAAATAATTTAGGGAAAACTATTACCAAACGTCATTTCCTTTCAAATACATTATTTATTTCTCCAAAATATAATTTTATAGTCATAGTATTATTACTAAAGTGTCTGTTGCCGTTACACTGTCCTATTTTTTTAATTTATTTTTGAGTTCCTATAAAGAAATATATTATAAACAGCTAGTTCCCGCGACTGCGTCAGCGTGGAATTTAACTTTAGTTTTCTAAAATAAAAGTAGTCTAAGTTACTCCTTATTACATCAGCTACATGCCCAAAAAAGTCCCGTCAAAATCGGTCCAGCCATTTCAGAGAACAAACCAGCCGGAGAGAAGAACAAGAGAGCCGGAACAAACAGACAGACAGACAAAAATTGTAAAAAATGTTATTTTGGTATATGTACCGTATATATGCATGTAGAAAAAAACGGATATATCAATATTACAAACAGACACTCCAATTTTATTTATATGTATAGATATAGTCTTACCATAGTAAAGTTATTATATTTTTAAGAGACTAGTCACTTGCTTTTAATATTTGATGTGGGGCATCACTGTGTTGGATTCCATCATATAGTACAAGTTTATTCATACTTTATATATTTTAATAAAGAGCTCGAAGTTTAATATTTATGTATTTTTTTAGTAATAAGTATAGTATAAGTACGGAGCCAACAGAATATCAGCGCTGCAGATCTATCTGTAGCATTATGCTGAGTTGGCAGCCTTTTCACTTTTGCGGCACATAAAGTCACCTACATTTCTTTCATTAATTCATATTTTGTCTGTATCTCATGTATGTTATGTGTCTGTAATTGTTGAATAAAAAAATTATCTATCTATCTATCTATTATATATCCCTGGGACTGGAAATGCTCAATTACTAGGCCGAAGCTAATAAAAATTCCATCGCCATACATTTCAACTGAATCCTTGGTGTAAAGTAGACCTTCAAAAATTCCCTGGGACTTTCCCTAAGTAAATAGTAGGTATAGAGTTTCCACTATAGCGTTTGTAACATAACATCTGCGGTGACCTAGCGTGCCGCCCGGTGCGACCCATCAATTATTACCTCGTGTAATGAACGCAAATCCTTTGATTCCATTGAACGAGTGCCAGAGGGAATTTGAGGCGTAAAACATGAGCGGTAGCATTTATACGAAAGTTTATAGTTGTCACTAAAGATCAGAGACATTATTATTTTTCGAATTTAAAATTGGAATGTTGCCCAATCAGCTCTTATACGGTAGCCACAGTGACAGTTGATTGCCACATTCGTAAAAGCCGACAGTATTTAATTAATAATACTCAACTACAGATAATTAAAAAATGCTTGTTAATGTATAAGACAAATTCTGAATATATTAAAAACAAATCTGTATTGATTCTGTCTATGCCCACTGCTTTGTTTCTCACATAGCACTCTTTGTTTATACCTACTTATTGCAGTTGCTATATGTAGAAGATTATGGTAATAATAATTAAGGTGATTTAACTGTATTTTATACAATCAACGTATGAATAAATAACATATCAGTTGTACATGGTACAGAAATTCTTACATTAGTGTACATAACTCTCACTTGCTAATATTTTGATTACGATGTATCATCGTAGTAAATATTTTGTAGGTTTTTTTTAATATAAGCATTCAATATTACCGACGACATTTTAAAACTATTTCCTATATCATCGTAGTAACTGTCTACTATTACATACCTTCTTTCGTTCTAAGCGTTATTTGATTGACGGTAACATTCTCAAACTATTACAGTAGTTTAATGCAGTCGCTGCCGCTTGTGCCTTGCGTGCCGCGCCGCCGCCTCGTCGCGGTACATCAAGTATGCACTGAGGGAATGGCGTAGCGACGCGACACCTAGCCCCGTTCATTTCATTGTCTGCGTCTCTTGCCGACCCGCTCCCGCGCCCGCTCCGTCACTATGACTCTATGCTGTACTTTTGAATTTTGCACTAGTCACTCTAATACTCGCCTTGTGGATTGCATTACGTTTTGATGTAGTTTTCAAATAAATTGCTCTTGAATCTATTATTCTTATCTACGTAGTGGCATCTAATTCTGTAATGAGGGAGAGATGGGGATATTAGATATGGGGACAAGTGGTCAATTACTAACAATATCTTAACAACTTAATGAATTTATATTATTTTCTTTAATTCTGCAACCATTAGCAGGTTTGAGACAAATACTCAGTGCGGAACTTGTCTATCACTACGACCTTCTCTAATGGTAACTTAATTCAGGGGGAAACCACCGCGATTAATTCCTAGTGAATTAGCCACGATAGGCTAACTGATCTGAATTCATGTTTTAGGTAAAACTTTTCACTGCCGCTCCTCCAGCTAATACTCTTAGAGGGGTGGAATAAGTTATATTGGAATTGCATTATCATGGATTATAAAAACTTCAATAATGTAACCAAAATGGTGCAGATTACAATACGGACATGAATATAATGTACTATTATAATAGCACAAATAAGAGAAAATTACATAATATTAGTATTTTAGACCAAATTAAACATAATTTGGTTTACCTAAATAAAACATATGTTAGAAAGTTAGTGTATAGGATAAAAAAAGCAAATAACAGACAGTATTTCAGAAATATTAATAAATGGCTTTTGAAATACTAAACTATACAGTTAATACCTTTAAATACCATATAAAATGCGTCAAGTAAAGTATATATAAGAAAAGTATCTGATTAAATTAGCAAACAGACAAATATAGTCAAGTATCTAAAAATAATAATAATAATATTAATCATCTAGTCAGCATCGCATAGTACAGTGTGGAAAATATAAAGGAACCTAAAAACTGACTAAGTTAAACTATTAAAGTATGTTTTTCTTGGACAGTATCGAATAAAAGATGGTAGTAGAGTTGCTTGACGTGCGACACCGCGCGTCTCGGTTGGTTGATCCCAAACTGTGTTAGCTCCGATCAAAGCGGAGTGTCTGTCAATATGTATGTGTTGAAGAGCAACTTACAAATTGATTTAAATAAAACATTTTTATTTTGATTCCACAGAACCAGATGGTGCTGTAACTTGAGTAGGGCTGGAAACATATTATGACTATATATCAGTAACTACAAAATTTATAATAAATAGTTCGAATACATAAAAGGATGTTCAAAAACAATGACAAGGGGGTCATGACCCGTTATAAAAAATAAAAAAAATTTTAGGTAAAGTGGACAATCCTTATCTAATAAAAAATACGTTTATCACTTATGGGTAAGAAAAATAGTAGCCGATTCTGAGACCTACATATGCATACAAAATTGCATAAAAATCAGTCAACGGTTTCGGAGAAGTATGGTAGGTAAACATGAGAATGTTATATATATAAGATTCATTGGGAATTGACTCTATTTTATCTGAGAATACAGTCGTGTTATATTGTTATGTTATTAAGTTTCACTGTAGTAGGGTTTCATTATCTAATAGAGTTTTCTGTTTGTTGCAGCACTGGTGCGTTCCGATCGTCGTCCGGGGGCGCGACGGAGCCGCCGCCCGCGCCCCCGCCCCCGCTGTTCCTGCCGCCGCACTTGTCGCATCTGTCGCAACACCTCAACCACTTGTCGCAACCATTCTTCCCATTAAAAGGTATGTTAATTAATTAATAGATACCTTTGATTTATATTAGTGGGTACGAGACAACTAATATAAATAGACAGATATTTGTTTTTGTAAATACATACATAATATACATATAAAATACCCAGACCGATATAAACAGTAACACTCATGAATACAAATGTTTATACGAGAAATCGAACCCGCGAACATTAAGAGTAAGGCGGTGTGCTCAAACGCTGGACCACCGACGCCGTAGGTACTGTAAATTATGCTTATACCATCATATCCAATATTTTTTATTTACTATATTTATAATCCAATAGGTTGGGGTGCCCCATGCCCGTGTTGCCCAAAAGAAGAGGCCCGCTCATCAAGCGTCGCAGAACTGAGACGCAAGGCACATGAACACTCCGCCGCGTTATTGCATTCGCTGGCCAGCTTTCAGTCACGTGCGTTATTACCACTACCGTTGCACCTACCGCCGCTACCGTTGTCGCTGTTGCCACCGGACACTTCACAGCAGCAGGCCGCACCAGATCCTCCTAAGCACTTAGAGTGATTTTTTAAATAATTTATGCAACTACGCCAAGGAAGTATAAGCATACAGCCAAGTTTGGTATACCAATGTTCAACTGCAATGTTCGCACAGCTAGAAGTGTTTATTTTATAAAAACTAGGCACATAAACTATGAATATACAGCCATGTTTAAAATATCATTAAATAATTGAAATGTTCACGTAGTTTAAGCAACTTGAGATATATCATGTTTAGAATGAAATATGCATAAGCTTGTTTAACTAACGATAGTTTCTTCTTCTATATGATTCAACCCAAACATACCCGTAATAAAAATTTTGTCGTCTCCTGAAATTATAATTTTTTTCATTATAATTAAACTTATAATTACATCAACAACAAGTTTTCACAACTGTCAATATTTTTATAAACAATAAAATAACTGAAATTTACTCTATATCGTCAAGAATTCCTTCAAGTGAATTATTTGATACGTCTGAAACAATAATTATTTATTTAAGGTCGTATATATTATTATTCCAGGTATGGTGCAATATATAGTATGTAAATTACAAATAAATACAATAATACACAGTATGCAAATTACAAAACTTTCATAAACACTATTTCAAAATATAATATTATCATAGTAAGTAAATAGTTTTTACAATGTGTCCAAGATGTTCATACTTACCTATACAGCTAAATCTTTATAAAATAAAAAAATATAATTAAATTAAACATGGCGCCTACTGAAATGTTCATATGGCGCCTATTTAAAGATAAATACAGATTATTGTGATGCCACAGAATAAATTTTTCCACCTGACAGTTCTGCAACCCTCCAACTACCCCTCCTGCAACTACTGATGCGTATTATAGGAGATATACTTTTAGTGAGCGGTCCATAAAACACTATGATAAATGGACAAGAGAATCGTAAACAACTTAGTACTTTGTTATATTACAGATTATTCAATTCACAAGCTATGAGAATTAATTTAAAAAAAAAAACAATGTTCCTCTAAGTGCGATTCTATTTAAAATATTTGCTTATGCCTGTATAATATTTAATTTCATTAATTGAAAAAAAAATTATATAGACATTGTAGACAATTTTTTTTTTAAATGAGAATGGGTAAAGTCATCGTCTCGCTAACAAATTATAATTTTTGGAAACACTTGCTCTGTCAATTACACATACAAAAATCGTATTTTGTATAGATATGTATAAAATTTGATGTGAATGATCTATATCTATATCTTAAACATGTTTTATATAGGTATGTAAAACTAATTTTTGATTTATGCAGTAGACGCACCTTGCGCAGTAAGTGAGCAGCTTTATGCCTACGTCGAGAAAAAGATAGATTCAGAAAGAAACGCGTGGGTATTTCTCTCTTTTAATTATGTGATATTTAAGTATAATCAATACGTTTTTATTCTAACATTAAATTGACAACTGTCGCGTTGAATAGTCATATTTAAAAAACTTAAAGGAAAGGAAGTCAGGTATGGAAGGCCTTTGCCTTTTATTTGATCTAATATAGTATTATTTTTATTATATGTTTACGTGAATATCTGTGCCATAAATCACTATTGTGCCAATGCTTCGTGCCATAATAGATTAGAACTTATTTAAGTAACTACATTTACCTTTTTAATTGTTATCTTTTATAGTTTATTTTATTGATAAATTGTTTTTAATGTGGTAATAAGTAAAATAAAAGAAACTTCAGAAAAAAATTAAGTACCAACATAATAATAAATCGTTAAAGTAATTCGCTGTTGTATAGAAAATGGCGGACCTATCCCACTATTTTATCGCAAGTAATCTAACAGAAACAAATTATTACAAAATAATCAATAGATAGTAGTCGAGAGGGTTTAAGTAGACTTAGCCATATTTCTTTAAGAATATCCTACAATTTATATATATTTTGAGTTAGAATTAAAGATATTAAAAAGCAATTAGGTATACAACTATTCATTTATAATAATATTCTTGTAATGAAAAATATTAACACTCAGCCTATTAATGTAGTTTCCAAATTGCAAATACTGTTTATAAAAATTAGATCAAAAAAATGTTTTTTTAATTATAATTATTATTGTAAACTTTTGTATGTATTTTTATTTGAAATGAGAGGTAAATAAAAAAAAATGTATGACGAGTTAATAAGTGGTCGTATAATTTTATTCCGATTATATTTTAATACATTACATTAACAATTATCATAACAATTTACGTATAAATAAGGTATAAATTAAATTCTCTATTTCAGAACAAAATAGGTACTATGTTTTATAATCATTGTAATCATGTTTCAATCTATATATGTATATATAATAATAATAAAATACCTATTGATATGTAAATTGATAAAGATTGATATTATTTTTTATTTCTATTTTAATTGAATTAAAAGATTGTTTTAGCCATTGTCCCAAAAAATACTTATTTTCTAATATAAGAATATTATTGAATATTGTAAATATCAACGGAACACAGTATTCGACCAAAACTGTTGTGATTTATTTTTTAATTTAACTTTAATTACTAGCAATAAATAATCGGGTGTAAATAATTAAATATATAAAAATATCTCTAATGATTCGATGTTCGTGATTTGTCTGTAGTTTATCGGTTCTGTATATAGATTTAGTAAATAAAATCCTTAGATATAACAAGGTTACTTCAAACACCTATATATACTTAGATAACAGTTATTCCATTCTGGCCCTTACGCAATGTCAATAAAAATTTACAATAAAATACCAATTAACTTAAAAGGTGAGGATGATTCTAAAAAGTTTAAAATAGCTCTAAAAAAATATTTAATCGCAAAGAGTTATTATGCGCTACAGGAATTTTTCAAGGAAAAAAGTTAGTTGTGTTTGTGCCTGTTTGTTTTAATTTAGTGATGATTTTTTTTTTTTATACTAATCAACGATACATATATATAATGTAAAAATTTAATTATGTAGTTTATATAAGATTTATTAATGTGATTGCTGTGCCCTTTCAGGGTTCATGTTTGATTCTATACTTTTAGTAAATTAAGACCAATTTTGTTACAACATGTAATAGCAATAAATAAATGAATAAATGAATAACTGGATAGATACATTTTGATAAACACGTTCAGAATAATCTGGTCAATATGACATAGCTCTCTAGGTTTATTATTATTTAGCAAAATATAAAGTAGGTACTACGAATTTTGCTAAATAAGATGTAAAAATTTTAATATTAGTTTAGTAAATAAACTAATATTAAAATTTTTAAAAAACAATACCTACTCATCACTAACACGTGGTACGTTTTTGAGTAGTGTCTATTTTTTTTTTAAATTAATATCTTAAATTTTTACTTATTTTGTTACTCTTTTTTTGTGTCGATGGTTAATTATTATTTTTTTACTATTTAATTTTGCACCTACAAAATATAGATTTACAGTACCTATAGTTAATTGAGAATATTATCGCATATTTAATTAATAGATTAGCTCCATACAAGACCAATATAAGTAATCGTTCGGAAATATTGACAATAGTTTTTAACAATTGATAAACATTGATATTCTATAAGACGCTTAGAGATTTTTATTATTTGTCAACTTCATTTCTTGTCAAATTTATGGATATTACAATACAATTATGTAATTAACAAAATTGTCATTTTGGATGTAATATTGTGTAAAAAAATTATAATTAAATACAACCATGATCAAAAGATCTCAAAATGTTTGCTATTATATAATAAAATAAGTTTGTAAGTCGGTCCGCGCCTTGTTTGTATATAGGTGTGAAAGAGAGAGGTATAAAAACCACTGCACCATGCACGAAACGTGGAATTGTCGGCGCGGGCGCATTGTAACATAGTATACATATTATAAGTACCTTAGTTACATGTGATTGATTAGTTGTTTTAATTATTAAAAAATATACCATTATGTAACAAGTAATTTGGACTATTTATTTAACCCAATAACAAAGTAAATAATTAAATACAAATAAACTAAATATTACATATTGTAGTGTATGTGGAAACACTAGCAGTTTATTATCTATCGTCTCGAGCCGAGCGTACACGTACCGCCGTGCGCAAGAGGGAAGGGATTCCCTGCGCAAGCGCCGCGGAGTAAAGACGTGGAGCTATGGCTAACGAGCCGATATTACGTCGATAACAACTTACATACAAGAAGACATAAATAACAAATAAGTGAACACTACATGTGGCGACGAGGCAAAATGGATATAAATAAAGATAAGTACAAAATCATTTAATAAGATATACATATACCTACGGGTACGGAGTAATTACAAATTTAGAAGGATTATGGTGGGGCCGCACGGGGAGCGAATTATATAGACCTATACAGAAAAAACAATAGCTGGGTAACATCGGTTTACGATCGATTTGCGCCAAGTAAGTAGGTACCTAATTATAAATTGTACTTGCTATACCTATAGTGTCTCTAGCTGGCAGGAATAGTCGTATTAATAATCATTGTAGTGATATGTTTACGTATATCCGTGATTTATTATTTTTAATGTATGATAATGGTGTACTGCCTGCGCTGGCGTGGCACTGATGGAGTATGGTAGAATGAGCGGGGGGGATAGGATCGGTTGGCCCGTCGTGGTGGGTTCGTGTTAATTTGTCACGATGGTATCTGGGGGAGCCGCGTGGAGGTCCCTCTGGCGTGATACAATGTTAGCAGTGGGATTATTTTAACAATCCCATTCCCCCTTCCGTATTTCCGTGTTGAAATAAAAAATCGGTAATGATTGTAGTTGCCGCTGCATGTTCGTTTCATGAGGGGACGGTGACGGTGAGATGTTTAGTGGGACATCATATTACGTGATGCAATAGACCTGTGGGTATGAAGTATAATAGAGCACTGTGCGGACGACACGTTTGTTTTGCTTTATCTTTTCTAGGTGTCGATGCACTTTAATTACTTTTGGCAATAGGGCCGCCTTATTGTATTTATACAGAGGTGGTGACTAGTGTTCAAATGTCACTATTTTCTTTTAGAGTATTGCTGCAAATGGAAGTGGTCTAAAGTTCCTCTTTCTAACTGTAATGATCACATGATAACCTAATATTACATTTGGTACGGGATAATATTACGATGTTGTCGGGTGATACGATATTATTACAAATGATGGTGAGCTGACAATTGTACCTGCATTATAGTACTGATGTTGGGTATTATATACAAAACAACAATAGTAAAATCTAAGGTGGGGTGACACACACGGTTTGAGCAGTGCTTGGTGGACAATATTTATATTTGCCTTAATTGATTGCAAGTGTTGAAGTATCTGGGTAACAGTGTCCCATACATTTCGATGCGGATGAGTTGTTCGGAATACCTGCAGACTATTTTATTCTGGTATTCGAGCAGAGCCGCGAAGTAGTGTGGTTAAAATGTTTTTATTTGGATTGGATTTGGCTTTTGGATTATATAATTTATAAATAATAATTATTAGTGAGCT